TGATTCCCTACCCCACCCCATGCCCTTACCCCCCACCTCTGTCCTCAACCATAGGTATTTGATTTTTGTCCAATCTCTTTCTGCACCCCTCACATCCCCTTCCCTTTGAGAATTGTCAGTCCACTCCCTTTCCATGTCCCCAATTCTTATTATATTCATCAGTCCATTCTTTTCATCAGATTCTTCATTAACTCAGTTTTCAGATTCACTTGGTAGGTATGTATTTGATGTCATTTTGTTCATAATTTTTATCTTTACCTTTTTCTCTTCCTACTTTCTTAAAGCATATCCTTCAGCATTTCATGTAATCCTGGTTTGGTGGTGGTGAACTCCTTTAGCTTTTTCTTGTCTATGAAGCTCTTTATCTGACCTTCAATTCTGAATGATAGCTTTGCTGGATAGAGTAATCTTGGTTGTAGGTTCTTACTGTCCATCACTTTGAATATTTCTTGCAACTCCCTTCTGGCCTGCATAGTTTCTGTTGAGAAATCAGCTGACAGTCGTATGGGTACTCCCTGGTAGGTAACTAATTGTTTTTCTCTTGCTGCTTGTAAGATTTTCTCTCTGTCTTTTGTTCTTGGCACTTTAATTACGATGTGTCTTGGTGTGTTCCTCGTTGGATTCCTCCTGTTTGGGGTCCTGTGCGCTTCCTGAAGTTGTAGGTCTATTTCTTTCACCAGGTAGGGAAAGTTTTCTGTCATTATTTCTTCCATTAAGCCTTCAATATTCTGTTCGCTCTTTTCTTTTGGCACCCCAAAAATCCGGATGTTGGTATGCTTTAAGCCATCCCGGAGGCTCCTTACACTATCCTCACACTTTTGGATTCTTCTTTCTTTTTGCCTCTCTGGTTGGGTGATTTTTGCTTTCTTATATTCCAGATCTTTGGTTTGATTCTTGGAGCATGTTGATCTATAGTTGAGTTTCTGTATATTCTTTATTTCAGACAGTGTATGCTTAATTTCTGGCTGGTCCTTTTCCTTTTTTTTTTTTTTTGGCATTCTCATTAAGGTCTTTGAAGGTCTCGCTAAGCTCCTCGAAGGTCTCATCAAGTTTCTCAGCAGTTTTAGAAGATTCTTGAGTAACCTTATAAATGTGGTTTTGAACTCTTATGTTGTCCAGTAGCTTGCTTTCCTCCATTTCTTTCATTCGTGACATGTTTCTTTAACTCCACATTCTGCCTGCTTCCCCTGTGTTGATGGAGTGGCTTTGTGTGGTAGGTGACCTATAGGGGCCAGTAGCTCAGCCTCCCCAATCATCTGGGGTGGATGCTCTTGGTACACCCCTTTGTGGGCTGAGTTCAAAGTCTTGATGTAGTTAAGCTTTGCTTGCTATTGGTACACTTGGAGGAATTGACCTCCAGGCCAATTGGCTGTGAGAACTCGCTGTTTCTATAATGGAAGAACTGCTGCGCTGGAGACACACTTATGGGGCAGGACTTGTTTCAGTGGGGCTTTGGTGCTCACTGAGTCTGCCCCTTGAATGTGTCACTTATGAATGTGAGGAGTTGAAATCTGGTGTCTTACACTGACCACTAGGTACACTGGCTCCTGGATCTCCAATAGGTTGCAGGTCAGCTACTATCTGAGGCCACTTAGCAGGAGCTACAGCAAGAACTACAGTTTTCTCCTCTTTGCTTGGGGTTTGGAGGTTTTGGAGCTGACTCTCAGGAGCTGCAGTTTATTTGGTTATGCTGTGATAGGGCAAGCCATTCTTATGCAATAGCCACTGCTTAGAGCTTGGGTGGGTATGTAGATTGTGTGGGGTTGAGTCTTAGGGAGTCACTAGGCTAGGGCATGGCAAACAGCGATGGCTGCCAGTCAGCTGTCTCTGCGTCTCTGATCACATCCCCACGTCTCGCACCCCAGAACAGTAAATAATTATTCCTGCATACACCTCTGCAAGCAAGCCACCATCATTTTCCGACCTGATGGCAGACAGTCCAGCTTCTCCCCATAGGACCCATAGTTTGGGTCCCCTGTGTCTCCCCAGAAACTGGATTTCAGAGTAATCAGGAGCTTGTCTCCCTTTGGTTGAACAAAACAATGCCCGCCGCAAGCCCTGATCATGTGCCTACGTACCTCGGCTTTTCAGCGTTTGTGCACATCTCGATGCTCTTTTCTCTTTCCTTCTAGTTGTAGAACTTCCACTTAGCCAGCTTTCCCATGGTTCTGGGTGATAGATGTTTTGTCTTTTAGTGGTAGTTTTGAAATTGTTGTGCGAGGCAGCAATTTAGGTGCTTACCTACACCGCCATCTTGGATCCTCTCCTCTATGTCTATTTCCCTGATTCCCCAATGAGCCTTTTTGGATTTGACTGTGTCTTAACTGCCATTCCGGGAAGACCCTGTCACGGTTTGTATTTTTTTCCTAGATAGGAACCCCCACATCTTTTCTTCTTCTTGGTTTCCTTTCTGCAATCCCTCATATTTGGAGTCATGAGGAAGAGGAGGACAGGAATGGCCTCTGCCTCACACCTGTCAGCATCCACATCTGTTGATTCCTTTGCTGATCCATTTCCCATCATTGTCTGGGAGTTTGTGTTGTGCCCCTGTTCTTGTTTAAGGCTCCTGTCACCACCTGTTCCATTCTTATTTTATTACCTTATGCTGCCTTAGGCAGGGAGGCCACACACAAACTCTCGTTCTGTGCTTTCCCCACCCCTAGAGGGGTATCTGCTCTCCTCTATGTCCATAGTCTAGTTGCCCTCTCCTTCTGTTGGCCTGGCTCTCACCTCCCCTGGCTGTCTGTAGCCAAGTAGGAGTGGTTTGCCATCTGGACCTGGCCCTTTGCCCCTAGATTGGCTGGCTCAGGGATACCCACTGGTGTTAAAGCAGGTGCTGAGCTGGCCATGGAGGAGCCCAGTCAGAGGCCCACCCTGAGACGAGGTGGGATGATCTTTAGCACTACCCCCCCTCACCCCTTGCCCAGCCTGGAAAAAACAAAACAAAACAAAAACAAAAACAAAACAACAACCCTTGGCATCTGCCTCAGTTTCCATCTGCTGCCTTGTTGCTTGGAATGCTGAGCCTAGACCCTAGCCTACCCTTCTGCCTAGCATCTGGTAACCTGGGACCTGTCCAGGCTTTTTTAAGGATCATTCAGATCCAGAATGCAGCCTAACAAGAGGCATTAGCAAAAGGGTGCATTGCATTAAGAGCTTTATGATGTAGAAGAGTGTCAGCCCCAGAGAGACTGCCTGAGGCGTTAATCTCAGCCCTTCTCTAACTGTGACCTTGGGGATATCACATTCTCTCTCTTTTCCTTGGTTTACTTGCTGGCAAAAGGAGCCAAATACTAGCACCCATCTCATAAGATTGTGAAGATGAAATAAGGTAAAATGAAGCTAAGAAACACACAAAGAACATAGCAACCTCAGTGTTAGCTATTACCATTGGAGTCAGAAAACCCAGGTTTCCATCTTGGTTCCACTAGCTGACCTTGAGCAGGTCCCTTTCCCTCTCTGTGCCTCAGTTTCCTTCTCTAATATGGAATTATGCTCTCTCACTGCAGGGAGAATATAGGATTGCAGGGAGAAGGTAGGTGGAAGTGTGTTGTGTGTTGGGAGTTGTGCACATGAGTAGTGTTACCATTAATTCTTAATTTGCATACTTTTGCAGAGAGGGCAGACACTAGGCCATACAGCTCAGCAGATAAGGCCCTGGGCTGGAAACAGAGTGTCATTCTTGAAGGCTAGCCTGGGCCAGGACATGTTGCTGGCTTCCGGGCCTGGGAGGGGCTCTTGAACCATCCTCTCTATGGGGCAGTGTGCGACCCTACCCAGTCTACCAGGAACCATTATCTCTGGAGGCATCTTGATTTAACCTTTTGACTTGTTGGGTTATCTTGGGGCTCCTGAGAAAGATGGAGGTGATAGCTGGAAACAAAATTTGGAATGGTAAAGCAAAACTTACTGGTAACAATACTTTCCTTGGGATGAGGATCTCTTGCTCCCTGTCTTAGCTGGTGTCCGCAGTGTGTGAATCAGGTCCAGAGAGGTGTGTGGGTCCTGGAAGCTCACAGGCATCTCTGCTATCTCCTCCTCACTCTGTGTCCTCTCAGTGCAGTCCACCTGGGGAGAGACAGCTCTTGAGCATTGGATAAGTGGATTTCCCATCCAAACTCCTTCAGGCACAAGCCAAGGTAAAGGGTCTGGTCCTCTTTGGGCAGAACTGATGGGAGAATTGCCTGGTGACTGCAGAGGGACAGGGCCTAGACCCTGCAGGGGGTCACCAGGTTGTCTTCAGTAGCTCAGCCCTATGTAGCTGGGGAGCGGAGAAACACTAAGCTTGTCTGCCTCTGCCTCCTCACAGTGAGTCCTAAGAATGCAGGATGTTCCCTCTCTGAATTGGGTAAGGGGCCTTGTTGATTATATCCCCCTGCACACACATGGAAATGAGTTTAGATTTTCTGAGCACACACCAGCTGGCTGGGGGGAGGCATCCCAGAAGGCTGCTGGCTAGGGAATGGGGAGAGGAGGGAAAGGAGGAGAGGGAGCCAGGCCAAGATGAAAATTTCACCTCACAGCAGAGCAAAAAGGGCTGCTGAGTGTTCCCCGCAGCTCATCAACCCTCCCCCCTTCTTCCCCCCCTCCCCCCCACTCACCTACCTTCGGTGCTTATAGGCTCAGAAGGAGCCATGTCCACTCAGGCCAGCCTATCCTCTGAGAAACACGGTCTTCAGGGTGCAAAACACTGAGCTGGCCGTTAGCGAGTTTGCCTGGTGGTAGACTTGTCTGTACCCTCAGAGAGGTCCTCCCCCTCTTCTAGGCCAACCCTTTCATTGGCTTGGGGGGGGGGGGGGCGTGGATCTGAGGCCCTAAGAGGGAACCAAAACTACCTCAGATCACAGAAGATCTGTGTCTTGTCCCAGTCCACTCAGGTTCTCCTGTGGAATTGCCGGGGAAGGAATGACTAAGGTTCCACAGGCGGTGGGCACTGTGCCCCACTTGGGTAGCCTGGAGGCAAGAAAGCCTGCGAGGGGCGGGGGAGGGGTGGGGTGGGGTCAGGCATTTGACTCCGCCTCTTCATGCTGGTATCGGTCTGTGCTCGGGTGCTGGCTCAGTCTCCGCAGCCAAGTCCACGAGATGACACCGCCTCCGCCCAGATGCACCTCTCTCCGCGTCCCGCGCTGCCGCATTCCCGGCCCACAGGTTCGGTCCGGACTCCCGCTGCAGTTGCTACTGCTGCTGCTCTGGGCGGCCGCCGACACCCAAGGCCACCCGAAGAGTGGACCCCGCATCTCTGTTGTCTGGAAAGGTAGGTGGCACGTAGGGGGGGTGAGGGGGACGGGACGGAGCCCGAGATATGATTCCTCTCGGGTGGGTGCAGTGTGCGCGGCACTGGAGAGGGTGCGTGTGCGAGGCTCTTTGGGTCCCGGGTGCTACTCTCCGGGAGAGGATGGGTCTGGATGAGTGTGAGTGTGCGCTGGCACACTGGAGCCGCTGGAACACAGGGGAAGTGGGTGGTGGGGCCGGAACCCAGGCTAAGTCGCTCCAAGTCCTCCCGCAGCTGGGAGCCGCAGCGCCGGGGCACCAGGGAAGGGAGCGGGGCTCCTCTCTCCGCCCAGAGGCGCTCTCTGTCCTCCAGCATAGGGCCTCCGTGCAAGGCTCTCCTGGGCTGGGACCTCCCCCAAGTCCTTCCTGAGCTGCGGGCTCCGCTGTCGCAAGGAGCCCTGGCTGGGCCAGAGACGGGGACTCGGACTCCTTGCTACCGCTGCTCCGCTCTGGCTGTGGGAACAAAGACCCTGCTGCCTGCCCTCGCCCGGGACCCAGGACCCAGGCCGGTTAAGGGGTGGGCACCCTGTAGCGTGCTGGGACTTGGTGTGGTGCTGTGGAGGCTGGGCACCAGGGCGCTACCTCTGCAATGCCGGCACCAGCACCGGCGATCCGCCCCCCCCCCCCCCCCCCCCCCCCAGTCCGCACGTGGCAGTTGTTACCAGGAATAGGTGCCAGCGTTGTGGGCACAGCATAGGGTGGGGTGCGGCCGTTGGGACCCCACGCAGCAGATCTGGGGCGGGGGTGTAGCTTTTAGGCTGCGGTGGATATACGAGTCTGAAGGACAGGAGTCTCCCTCAGGGGTGCCTTAGTTAAACAATGGGTCCGAAAGCCGGTTAGGTGGGGTTTGAGGTTTTATGCCATGAGGGATTGAGCTCCCCTCCTCTGCATTGCACGTAAATGCTTCTCACCCCCAGGACAACTGGGTTCTGTCCCCTAATTTGGTGGTTCTTTGACCCCCTGTAGTGGAGGTAGACTCAGGGTGGGGGTTGGAGAAGCCACCTGGTCTGGCCCTGACAGGGCCCTTTGATGACTGAGGCGGTTTGCAGGGATTGCCAGAGCCTGAACATTATCTGGGGCAGGTATTCTTAGTAGAGAGAGAAAACCCTACACAAAACCAATGGCATGAACTGCAGCTGCAGCAGAGAGAATGTGACTCGCACAAGGTCACTGGAAAAAGTGCAGACAGGGCTCTGATCTGGCATAGGACCAGTGCTAGCACTGGGTTAGGGAGGGGAGAAGGATTTAGGCCACACAAAGGAGGGACTAAGGGGGCCAGCTCTGTAACCCAGCCTGAGATATTCTGGTGGGAGTGTAGCAGAGTGGGTGGACCTCTGGTGTTTACTCATGATAGACACCTCCAGCCCAGGCTTCCTCTGCCTTCCCAGCATCTTGGCTTTGGGTCAAACCCTTTGGCTGTCCTGGACAGCCCAGCATTTGGGCCCTCTCAAGGGGATAAATGGCCATGTCTAAGTGTTCTAGCACACACACACACACACACACACCCCACCACCAACCCCCTTGCATTTGACTCTGCTTGCCTCCACTCCCCAAGACTTCTGAAGATCCTTCCCCCCACATATTTAATGACCACCAATTTCTTAGTACTTAATATGTAGCACTCCATCTCAGGCATTTCATCTTTCCACCCTGAGCTATTTGAAGCTGCTTTCAGTTCTTTTGCCCACTTTTCAAAGCTTCCAAAGCACCTTTCCCCTCCATGCAGTTCACTATAATAGCCACTCTGGCTGTGCCCTCTGCTTGGTAATACACTAATGTCCCCCGCTGGGATCTGCCAACCCCTCACTTGTCTCGTTCTAGGGCAGCCTGTAGTCTCCTTCATCAGTGCCAGGCACCCCACCGGCCAGACAGACCCTACCATTTGCCTGTCCCTCAAGACCACCAGCTGGTGATGGTATGCCTGGCTGACAGCTGCCTTCCATTTCCTGTGGGGTGACACATGGACAGAAATGGGCCTGGGCAGGGCAACCGCAGAAGTGGGGTGAGAGGAGGATCCCCTTGGCTTTGCTGTAGTAGAGGCCTAAGTTCTTGTTTACTTGGGGTAGGTGGAGGGCAGCCTCCAGGAACAATCAGATGTGGGATAATGGTGGTCCTGGAGCCACTTCTCTATGAGGTATAGGTTGGATTAAGTTTTAAGTCAGGACAGGTGTGGGACTGGGTATGGAGCTCCGGCTCTTCTTTGTGATCTATTTTTTGCTACATGGACCCCTACATCCTAGGGAAAGATTAGATTAGGAAGTTCTGAGAGGTCCCAAATTATACTTGCCAGAGGTTGAGAACTCTTCAAAATATTGAGCCCTGGTCCAGCAGATCTGGGCAGAGAGGGATGTGCTAGCACTAACCTGCTAGGTGTTCTTGAGCACCACACTGTCTCTGACCCTCAGAACTCACCAGAGCAGGAAGGGCTCTGAGATTGTCCCCTGAGGACTGTCACTGATGCACGGGCCAGTCAGAGATACGACTGTTTGGGCCTGCCCTTCCTGCAAGCAGGGGCTGGAGAGGAGTGGGTGTAGGTGAGTGCGGGAGATTGGCTTGCCTGTGGAAGCTCTGCACCCCTCCTCATTTCATCCCCAGTTAGAGGAGATGGAGAAGCTCAGGAAGGTCCTGACCCCCAAGGTCAGAGATGAGCCAACCTGCCCCCAAGGAGAAACAGAGCTACCTGCCCAGCCGGTTCTGCCTCTCCCTTGTCCAAATAAACAACAGGATGTTATTATTGACTTGAGGCTGCTGGGGAGCCATTATGAAGCTACTCCCCAGGGCAGGGGTTGTTGTCACCCCATTTAGGGGATGAGATCACAGCTGGGGCTCCCTAAGCATCAGCATTTTCAGTGGAAATCCTTGCCCCATTGGGGACTTAGATGTGCTCTTCACCTTCAGGGTGAACCCCCTGCAGAACAGAGAGGAGGCAATTCCCAGGAGGAGATGGGGGTGGTCCAAAGCTGGGAGAGAGATGCTCGGTGATGCCTCTAGGAGCTTCCTGCCAAGGTCTGTGGCCCTCTGTCCTGAACAGTGAAGGTTCTGAGAGCAGGCTGGAGTGAGTGATGGCATGGGCTCAAGATGACTGTGGTGTTAGGGGAAGAGATCCCAGCTCTGGCCTGATTTTCTGTGTGACTCTAGGCAAGGGTTTGCTTTTTTTATGAGCCTCAGTTTCCTCTAATGTCCAAAGTGAATGGAGGGAGGAGTTATACTTATGAGAGCACTAATTTCCTGTGACCCCTACCTCTCTGGTGGTAGGCCCATTCAGATCTTAGCTGTAAGGAGAAATTGAAACCTGGGAAATCCTTGAGTTTCATGTTCTTTTCTTTTTCTCTCATGATCTCTGAGAATCAGCTGGAGGAAGTGGCATATTGGTTTGTGGCCTGAAAGGTAGATGGTATTTCAGCATTTTTGACATTTGCTGGGGCCAACCTGTGATGGTCTTGGGGCTGTGCCGGGGGATCCAGGATGAGAAACTAGACAAGTCTGAAGACTTATCAGTGTAGGTGGAGAAATAGGAGGTCAACTTGCAGTTACAATGAAATGTGGCAGAGGGCAGCTGTGGGGGTTGAGGAAGTACATAATCCAGTATCCCCAATTAGGTAAGACTTCCTGAAAGAGATGTTCTGCCATGATGGCAGGAGTAGTAGGAGACAGCTGGGGGATGGGAGGGACAGGAGAGAGCACCTGGCATGACAAGATTTCTGACCCTAAAACTTACAACTAGGACCAGGGAGAGGAAGAGGCAGTGAGTGGGAGATATTGAGTCAGGCTTGGCCTCCAGGTTTTGGGAAGATTTCTTGCAGGAGGTGACACATGAGCTCAGCCACCTGACTCCCACAACCAGCCCTGTGTGGGGAGGACCATGGCTGTCAGGAAGTCCTCCCTAGAGTCACAGCTTGCTGATGGGAAGCTGGGGCTGGGTCCTGGGAGACCAGAGTTTTCCCCCAGCACCAGCCAGGCCCTGCGGAGGGAAGAGGGGGAGGCAGATGACCTTCCTCTGACCTCCCAGGAACTTTCACCTTCTTAAGAGGGGTCAGAGGAGGGGGGTGTAGGTCACTCCCCGGGGTGGGAGACAGGGAGAGCTGGACACTCTTCTATGAGGGCCAGGCTCAGCCCAGGGAATAGGGTCCAGTTGCCTGCAGGGGGCAGTGGTGGGAGTGGGTGGCCCTTGTGGTGATAGCTGGGGCCCCATCTGATATCCTGTCCTCCTCCCCCGGCCCCATGTCACTCATTTCAGCCACTATAGGGCCTGTGTCGCAGGAGACTGACCACACTTCCCCTGCTTTGGGGCTAGAAACTTCCTCTTCTCTTGGTTTCCTTTTTTGGCAAGGCCTGGCTGCCCCGGAAACCTCCTCTCTCTCAGGGCAGGGGAAGAAGGGGTCCTCTACAGCAAGGAGGACTCGTTGGTCCCAGCAAAATGGGCTTCCACCTTCTCTAGCTGGCCCAAACCACAAGAGACCAGGAGATCCATCCCCTCCCTGCCTCTATGGGGGAGGGGAGTGGTTCTCCACCTCCAAGCCCTTTGCTTCCCAGCCTTGGCCTGTGTCCTGCTGTGTTTCCAGAACTGTGCCCTGGCCTCTGTGAGGCCCCTCCATCCCTCTGGGTCATTGTGCTGAGAGTTTTTCCTGGGACACACAGAGACAGAGCCACCACTTCCCCAGTCCTACCTGGTAGCCTGGCCCCATTCCCACCTTATCTTCCCTCACCACTCTCCAATTCCCCACATTTTCTTGCCTCAGGGCTGTTTCCCTGCACCCCATTCACTCCCTTCTTTCTTTCTGCCCATGCTACCTCACTTCCTCCGAGGAGCCTTCAGCCCACACAACCTGACTGGACAGAGTTTAGGACGTCAGAAAAAAATCAGATCTGCTGAGCTAACCACAAGTTCCACAGATGGGGAAATTGAAGACAATGATGACAGAGACTTGCCCAAGGTCACCTAGTGAGACCGGCATAGCTGGGACCAGGGCTGTGTCTTCTGCT